ATTTCCTCGTCATTTAGTCTCAAGTTTAATTTCCTTGTTGCACATCTATTAGAGCATGAGCTGTCGCAAAAAATGGACGTCCCAAAATTAGAGGCACCTCCCGTTCCTTCTCCATATCAAGAACTATGAAGTCCACCAGAGAGATAAATTTGTTGACCTTTAACAAAAGGTCTTCAACAATGCCTTTAGGTCACTTGATTGATCTATTAGCAAGCTGGAGCGACATGTTTGTCTCTTTCTCTTTCACTTCTCCAAGTCCTAGCTTCCTGAAAATTGATAAAGACATTAAATTAATACTAGCACCTAAATCACACAATGCTTTATCAAAGAATAAATCTCCTAATGCACAAGGTATAGTAAAACTCCCTGGATCTCTCAGTTTAGGAGGTAGTTTAGTTTGTAGTATGGCACTGCATTCTTTAGTGAGCATAATTGTCCCATGCTCCTCGATCTTCCCCTTGTTAGAAAGGATGCTTTTTAAGAACTTTGCATAGTTGGGCATTGTAATACCCACATTCAAAAATATGGTAGGGATTATTTTATAGTCATAGTGAATATATTTAACTAGTTTTATAGAGGAATTCCATAAAAGTTTCAATAGGGGCAAAATGGTCATTTCACATAGAATCACATGTTCAAGTGAAAAGTGAGTATGATAAATATTATTAAGTGTGCTATCCATGAGAATAGAGTGGTACAAAGATTATGGAAAATACACATGATGTGATGCCGAGATAAATGAGTGTTTGTAAAGTAATAGGAAGAAATTAAAGAATAAGGGTAGAATGATCTTTTCACTCACAACTAGATGACAAAGTGGTGAGTGGAAGGAAGAAAAATAATGTGAAGAAGATGATACAAATGAGGGTAATTAGGTAAATGACTAAAAGACATAGATGAAATTTCTTAGAAAGTGCAAGGGCAAAATGGGAATATATATATTAATTATTAGTTATAAGGCTTCAATTGACAAAACCCTAGCCATTCTCATCCCTTGAGCATGCCACCTCTCATCCATTTTCTCTCAAGCTTGTTCATCAAATTTCAAAGAGAATTCATAGGGTTTAGGTTAAATTTTTGTAGATTTTCAATCCTAAAGCATCCAAAGGTCCAAGAGAAAAAGAATTTTAGCAAAGGAAGGTTGAATCATTAGTGTTTTACAAATTCAAGGTAAGTAAACCCAATCTAAGCTTTAATTTGAATAGTATATGTGTAAGTTGATTCTTGAGTGTTTGTGTATGATGTATGATAAGAAGTATTGGCTGTTTAGATGCTTGTTTGGTGGAGAATAATGTGTAGAAGTTCAACCAAGATGAGTAGTTATGTAGATGTGATGTTCTGGTTGAACCTTGGATGAAATTTTGAAGAGTTGATGTTGGAATTTGGAAGTGTTGAATTCGGCCAGAATAGGGGCTGAGTTTTTGTTGAATTTTCTTCCAACTTTAAGGTATTTGGAGAGATGTGGAGGTGTGGCCAGCCATGTACTTATATGTGCATGTAAAGTGTTTGGTGAAATTTCAAAAAGAAATTCATGCATGAATTTATCAAATATTGTTAAAGATATTGTTTGAGAAAGGAAATAATTGATGTTAAAAGGTTGTATTAGACTTGACCAAGTATAAGTTTAAGTGTTTAAGAGTGCATTTTGTTATGCCAAAATTTAGAATAACACTTGGTTATGTTAGTTCAATGAAATTAATGGCCTTTAGTGCATGGTTCAAGTTGCTTGAACTTTTAGCATTAGTTTGAATGGCATATTGTATTTAGTCATTGAATTATGAGTTTTGAAACTTATGAATTTAGAAAAGTGATGGCAAGAATTGCATATTAAATTGTTGCAATAGTGTAGTACTGATGGTAGTAAAAGATGGGTGATTATATTATAATATTACAATATGCCACAATAAATTGTCAAGCTTGTATGCTTGAAATTAGAAAGATCATTCAAAGAATGGCTTGGCCAAATGAGGATATTGTTGTTTCTTGTTTTGAGATTAGTTATAAACAATATGTAATAAGTGATTTCATTGTATAAAGAATAGAAAAGCTTTCCCAAGTATAGATATCAAAAGAAACATCAAAGAAATAGAAGTTTGGTTTATGTATTAAATACATGACCATTTTAGAAATTGATTGGTATGAGTATAGTTTTCATGCCTTATTATATATTACAAGCTATAGAATTGTGCTAGAAGATCTTGAGAATATGTTGTATTGGTCAAAAGTTTAGTTAAGAATGTTAGAAACAAATTAGAATTTAGCCAAAGTATATATGATGTGCTATATGTTAGATTGTATTTACAATGATTAATATGGCAATATAGATTAATGTATAGAATGTAGCCAAAAGAAAAGAAGAAAGAAAGGCATGTATAACAATGTTGATGGTCATCTTAAGAGAATGTCAATTTATGGCATTAAAATTTGTATTTAGAAAGTTGTACAAGGCATGTTTGTAACATTAGAAAATATTAGAGAGTAGTTTAATGATATGGTTATGTGATATATATATTTGAGAAAATCTAGTAGCATAATTGGGCAAGTTAGTAGACTTAATACCTAAGTTGTGGCATAGATTTTTATAGAAGAAATTAGATTGTCCAAAATGTAGAATTCATTCCCTAGTTAAATTGTGACATTTTAATATCTAACAAATAGAATTATAGAAGCGTAGAATTTGTGAGAGATAATGTAATTGTGTACGTGTACATTTTACATAGCATGATAGAATTGAAGAATTATAGAATTATGTAGAAATTATAGAATCGTGTACGTACACAAGATGTATGGAATTCAGAAATAAAGAATAAAATAGAAAATGTTTAAGTTAAGCGTCTTACTAGAATAGAACTTTGGGCTTTACAAAAAAAATATAGAAATAAAAGCCTTAGAATTAATAGAATACATGCAAGAGTCAAACACGTATTTTGGGATCATGAATAGACAACATATAAATACATGACATAGCATAACATGTATTTTAGAAATTTTAAAATTATTGGAAAATGTCTAGCTAGTTATTTTTCAGATTTAAAAAGCATGTTTTCAGAGGGTTGTTGCGATGGGGAACCTGTGAGCATTCGCTGCATTAGTTAGTGGTGATAGAGATGCAGAAGTTTCCCACATGCATGCCGCCATCAGTGAGTGGCCTTAGAATAGGAAACAGAATTGTACAATCCGCTAGAAGTGCATGTGGATGAGGACTATACCCATAAAGAATTTCAGAATACGCTCACACGGCCAGGGTTCCAAATCCATGCCTCAGCCTATCCGATCAGCGAACCATAACAGAATACAGAAAGAGAAAAAGAAAGAAAAATAGAATAAGAAATAGAGACCAGAAAGAATTTTAGAAAGAAAGGAAAAGGATTTCAGAAAGAATTAGAAAAGAATTTTTAGAAAGAATACAAACATGATCATTTGCATATGCATCAGACATTTTATGTACATTGCATTTATGCATAGATTAAAGAGTTTATTTTATTATTGCGTGTCTGACTGGCCAAGAAAAGAAAATAGAAGCCCATGAAAATAGAGAAGAAAAGAAAATAGAAGCCTACAAGAATAGAAATAAAATTAGAGATATATGAGAAAGGAACATAAATTAGATATATGCTAGAAAAGAATAGAAATTAGAAACGTGACAAATAGCGAGGAAACTTAGCGACTTGTTGAGTAGAGAAAGAAACGGAAAGATATAATATAGCATAGAAGAGAAATAAAATGATAAAGAATAGCACAACACTAAAAAGATTTAGAAAGATTTGAGAGAAATAGAAGACTGCTAAGTAGTACGCCTGAGAATAAAGAGAGAAAGCAAGCAGAAATTTAGAAGCAGCGCAGCGAAAATGGGGACAGCGGAGTAAGAGCATAGTTAGATTTGATTTAGTTACTGAACATTTATAGCTCACCCCATTGCTTTCTTTATTTTGACAAGTATTAGATTGTAGCGGTCGGGAGACGTCAAGCTGTCGAGAGGGTTGCACACACTGCCTTAGTGAAGGAATTAATGTGGATTTATGTATGTATTTTTGGTAGTAATAATATTTAGAGAACATCTTCATGCTTTCTGGTTCATTAGAAAATGATTCTTATCATTTTTATATATGTGAGAAATAGTCATTGTGTAATAGTATTTTATAACTGGATTAAGGGTAAAAATTTTAGATGAACACCCTTTTTAAGCTAGCAATTCTCTGGATTCTCTTTATAGGATACTCAGTGAATACTTGCCTAGTGAAAGATTACAAACATCTATGCTAAGGCTTCAGCAAATGGAATATTTATTTGCAATTTCTTAAAGACCTCTAAAAAATTTGAAAATTGTTGATCCAACTTATCCTTTCTAACTCTATAGAGATAAGGAAATTTAGATACATCTTTTTCAACAACAACAGAATCATAATTTGATGATGTACCTTTTCCTTTACCTTAGTCTCTGTCTCTTTTTCTGAATTCACTTTCTTTTCTTTAATAGGGAGCGGTAACTCAGCTTCACTTTCCACCTTCTTTTGTGATTCTTCTTCACCAATCACTTTTCCATCACTCAAGGTTATGGCCTTACATTGCTGCTTCAGGTTGTTTTTTGTGTCACTTGGTAAATGCCCTTGTTGTCTACCCTAAATGATATTGGCCAACTAGCCAATTTGAGCTTCCAAATTCTCGATGGAAGCCTCCTGATTCTTAATTCTTGTCTCTGTAGTACTTAGGAACTTCACCATCATCTCCTCTAAATTTGATTTCTTCTCTTGAGATTGAAAACCTGGCAATGGAGGTTTCACTTGATTGTTGTTACTCTAAGAGAAATTTGGGTGATTCCTCCACCCTGGATTATATGTTTCATTGTATGGATTGTTATTAGGCCTTCAAAAATTTGAAACATAGTTAGCTTGATCAGGCATAGAATTAATAGCAAACATGTTACCTGACTAACACTCATGGTTAGGGTGATCTTGGCCATAAAAATCACACATGGAAGCAACTATTGCAAGTTTTTGCATTTAAAGTCCATCAATCTTCTTATTCAATGCCTGCAATTGTGCTGCCAAAGCTGTGATAACATCTATGTTATGAACACCTGATGTTCTTCTCACAGGCAACCTCTCTATCAACCATTGATAAGAATTTGAAGCCATTTCCTCCAACAATTCATAAGCTTGTTCTGGTGTCTTCTTACCTAAAGTACCACCCATAGCAGCATTGATCATATTCCAAACTTCACTATTAAGACCATTATAAAATGTCTAGACTTGCATCCAAACCGATAATTCATGGTGGGGACATCTTCAGAGCATGTCCTTGAACCTTTCCCATGATTCGTATAGTGACTCTGTATCCACCTGCACAAACATAGTAACATTATTACGCAATTGTGCAGTCTGTGCAAGAGGAAAATACCTACTCAGGAATTTTTGTGTCATTTGCTCCCAGGTTGCAATCGAGCCTGCTGGTAATGAGGTCAACCAACTCCTAACTTGTCTCTTAATGAAAATGGGAACAATCTTAGTCTTATAGCTTCATTGGAAACTCCATTGTGCTTAAAAGTATCACAAATCTCAAGGAAATTTGCAATATGTAAGTTAGGATCCTCATGTGCCAACCCACCCAATTGCATTGACTGTTGAATCATCTGGATAATTGTTGGCTTTATCTCAAAGGTGTTGGTGTTGATCACTGGTCATCGAATGCTCGATGCCACTCCATTTAGAGATGGGGTAGAGCACTCGTTCAGTGTACGAGTTGCTAGTGGTGTTCCATTATTTTGGTTATCGTGATCACCCATGATCTCCCTTTTGATTGCTCTCTTTTTGTGTGAAAAGTGCACTCTATCTTAGGATCAAATGCTAGTAAAATCTTTCTAGAAGTTCTGGTCATACACTAGCAGAAACACCTATTGGTTTCCAATAAAAACAAACAAAATAAAAAATCTCAAAGTAACAAGTAATCCCAAAATAATCACAAACAATCTAATGGTCCCCAGCAATGGCGTCAAAAACTTGATGCGACTAAATCAACCCTAGCAAGTGCACTAGTCGTGTTCAAGTAATAAAGTGATGAGTTTGAGTATCGTCCCACATAGATCAAAGCAATTATTTGTAATTACCTAAAACTATTTACACATTGTTTGAGAACACGAAATTTTAGAGTGTAAAACTAACAGATTAAAAATAACTAAATTAAACAAATAAATAATGTGAAGAACTTTGTAGTATTAATGAAGTTAGGGTACAGATTTCGCCCTAACTATGCTTGACAACTACTCTTAATACCCGGTTGTGCTATGAATTGGTAGGATTCCTCTTAGGCCAATTATCCTTATTCAGGCATAATATTCAACTTCATACAGATCCTTATTCGGTTACTCTGAAATTAAAAAGCATAAAATCATCAATCCCTTATGACTAATTCACCCTATTCCATTATGAATTAGGTGGACCACAAATTAATCTTAGAATCTCTATTCAATTACTTCTAGTTTTAATACGTTGTCCAATGTTATTTCAATAAAACAATTATGAATACGAATTAAGCAATAAACCCTAACTTCTCTATTCGAAACATCATCAAGGTGATTGAATCAATCCAACATTCATAAAGCAGTAAACCTAAACTCTTGCACAAATTCATAAACATAAATCTAGTATTAAGAATAAAAATTGTTCAAAACATAATTAGGGTTCCATCCTCCCCTAACGAAAGAGATTTACTCCATCCTAAGAACAAAGAAATAAACAGAGAAGAAAGAAAACATATTTAAACTTGAAAATAAACAAAAATCAAACTCTTAAATCTGATCATCAGTTTTCAAGCCCCAAGAATACGTCTTCTCCTCTCCAAAATATGCAAAATTTGTTTTTTTTTTAGTTAATCTCAATCATACTTAAATAACCTAAAGAGTCCTAAGTGAAAAGGGAAAGAAAAACTAACAAAAATGCCCTAATAGTTTCTGCCACGACAAAAAATGCCCTAATAGTTTCTGCCACGACCAAGATTTAAGCCTAGGCTGTGGTGCTTTCTGGTCATTTTGTTTTATTTTTTTTCCACCACCATGGCCATGGTGAACTCCCAAGGCTTGACCATGGCCTTAAAAAATGTCAGGTAGTCTAAATTTCTTCTAGCTTTAAGTCTCAATTTCATTCCAATGCTCCAATCTACTCAATCAAAGCCTGAAAACACACAAAAACTATCCAAATCAATAGCTGACCATTCATATCTCAAGCTTAATAAAAACTAACACCAAAACAAATAAAACAATTGAGAAATTAATGAAACTAACATCAAAATAACCCTAAAAACACTCAAGTTATGCAACTTATAAACTGGTATGTTTGAAATTGAATTGAAGTTGGAGTAAAGTTGCATGGGTTAGGCTGGTTTAATTTAATTTACTTAGGGGTGGCTTGATTTGATTATTGGGAGTGTTTGTGTGAATTAAAATGTGGAGAGATAGATGTTAAATGGGTAAGAAAGATGAAGCAGTTAATTGAAGGTTTGAAATGAAAATGTATGGTTTGTTTTATTAGTTTTTTAGTTAGTAGAAATATAAATCTTCATGTTTTAAATTCTAATTTGGTGAATTTTGGGAATAGGGTTATAAAATGGAAATTTTGTGATTTAATTGGTTGAATGTTGGAAGGAGAATGTTTTGGTAAATTGGTTCGTAAATGGTGGCAAGTGTTAAAAAGGAGAAAGGAGAGAATTAAGTGGACTGGAGTGGCAGTACGCTCTCTGGAATGAGGGGTGTAATTGTTAGTTTTGTAAGTTAAATAGGGGGTCGACTGCAAAGACCTAAAGCTTTTGGACCCATTAAAGTGAGATATTCAATGGGATTTTTTATGCGCAATAGGATTTTCAGGGGGAATTTTTCATTTATGCGAATATTAAAGCATAGACAGGGGGATTTTTTGTATGTTTTGAAAGTTTTTAGACCAAAGTGTAATGGATGACAAATATTGGGTGTAAGTGGAAATTTTACATGACTACGCACTATTCAATATTGCGATTATGATGCTCATATTTACATGCCGAATTTATGGGAGAGCTATAACATGTTACTACATGCATTTACATGACGACATTCATAAAGTGTGATGTGTTGAACAATTGGGTGAGTATGCAAGAATGTGTTGGCTTGGAGTGTAAGGGTGTGTTTGGTTTGGGTTAAGACCACCCTTTTATAGTACGCGTTTCCCCCTTTAGACATCAGCTAGCTCGTGTTGTGTTTCTTAGCCTCCTATGTGTATTGAGAAGGTCTGTACTACCGCATGGTGGTAGCATCCTATCAGGACAAGACAGATGTCTGACAAGCTTTAGGTTAGAGTACACCCATGCTAATGTAGGCAGGGTGGTTCCGAGTGTGTGTGTGTGTGTGTGTGTTTGGGCCCTTGCTAGTGAGGTATATTTAGCCTCTACGTACAGTTGAGATGGCTTGTACTGTCGAACAATGACATAACATCCCATCGTACCGGGATAGGACGGGTCTCTAACGAGCTCCAAACAAGATTATTTCCCATGCCAATGTAGGAAATGTAGGGGTACACCCATGCCAATGCAGGCAAGGTGGATTCGAGTGTGTGTGTATTTGCTAGTTTCCTTGTCTGTATATAGGGACCTGTACTAGAGTGTACCTTTGTAGATCCGTTGGGTACTATTGAGGTGGTGGTGGTAATAACCATATCAAAAGAGTTTGTAAGTTTTTGGTCAACTTTTGATTCTAGTGTGGTAACACTAGGCATGGTATGAACACCTCATTTTGTTTATAGCACAATCGTTTTGTTTAATTTTCCAGTGTGACGACCTTCTATCAAAGTGGCCACCTTCAATTAAGTTGTTTTTCTGTTATATCATGTGAGCACCTCAGAGTCAGAGTGGTCACATGCATCTGGCTGATATTTTGAGTAAACATGTATTATATTTCAATAGTCTCGTGAGCTGTCATTATTCTCTTTATGAGATATTGTTTATGATCCATAACACTCGTCAATTTTTTACACAATGAGCTAGAAAGTTTGTTTTCATTGATAGATGGTCATAATAGAAATGGAATACACTTTTCATAAAGTTTCTTGTTAGCCACCTGTCCTTTTGCATTGGTTGGATTTTCTTTATATAAACTCTTCTCCAATGCAATTTCTTTTTAAGCCTGATCATTTCCTTGAAAGTACTCTAAATATTTCTAAAGTTTTTTTTTTTTTTATCCGGTTTCTATGCTTAGGTAAGCTTACAAATACTTTCATCAAAGTTCATAGAATTTGTCATTTCTCTCTACGTTTGGTTACGTAGTTGATGCTTAAGCTTGCTGAGCTTGTTCAACCGATGTGGATCTTTGTTGCTATACCTTGAGAAGAGCTCGAGGCTATGTAGGTGGTTTTGTGTACTTGGAGCTAGCTGTGGTAGTATGTAGTTTGACCAAAGGGTAGAGATTGAAGCATTGCAAAACAGGCAGTGTTCTTGCAATTGAGGCTTAATCTTTGGCTTTGTAATTAAATTGAAAAGTATACTATAGTGGATTAGCTTCATTCTGAACTTGGTCCCATGGATGTAGGCATTTTGCTGGACCATGTAAAAACCTGGTCTTTATTTGGGTTCTTATTTGATTGCTTTATGTTTATGATAAATGGACACTAAAAGCAACTTAGAAACCCTTCCCGCTTAGTTTTAATTTACTTGGTAAAGTAATTAAAACTTTCATTTGGTATCAAAGCTTGTTTTGGAAAGTTATTTCAGTTGATCCTTGCTTGTTGATTGTGTTTTTATTGTACTTTTGTATCTGTTTTTGTCCTGGTTATTTTTCAAGATTTTCTGCAGATTTTTTCACTCAAGACTTGTGACCACCTTGGGCTATGTGACCACACTGGTATTGAACATTGTGTTTGTGACCACCTCTATCTTATGAACTTGTGGGTGACCACCGCAGTGTTTGGATGATCGCACTTACTATTTGTTTACCATGAGTTTTTTCGATGAAGATGGGTCTACCAATTGAGTACCCTTGTTTGAGAAAATCAACTATATCTTTTGGAAACCTAAGATGCATTCCTTTTTAAAATCTATTGATGAAAGGGCTTGGAATGCTTGTATGGTTGGTTGGCAAGAACCTAAAACTGATGAAGCTAGTGGAAGTAAAGGAAAGGCTCTTGATCAATGGACCAAGGCTGAGTTAGAAGAGTCTAATTTTAACTCTAAAGCATTTCATTCCATTTTTAATACTGCTAGTATAGGTCAAATGAAAAACATTGCTAACTATGAAATGGCTAAGGATGCATGGGATACACTCCAAGTTAAAAATCATGGAACCGATATTGCGAAAAAGACCAGGCTTAGAAGATTAATCATGGACTATGAAAATCTTGTTATGCATGATAATGAAACCATTACTAATTTTCATGGTAGATTGTGTGATATCATTAATGAGTGCTTTGCTTTAGGCAAAATCTTTTCCGATGTTGAACTTCTTAGGAAGGTGTTTTGTTCCTTGCCTTAAAGATTCATGTCCAAAGCAACGTCCATTGAAGAATGTTGCAACCTTGATGAGATGCAATTGGATGAACTGATTGGATCTTTGCAAACCTTTGAGCTTAGCAGGAATTGATGGGAAAAGAAATTAGGCAAAGGGCTTGTGTTGAAACA